CATCCCGCGCCTGGAAGAACATACTGAAGACAGGGATCATTCCTGGATATGTTGAACCACACTCTCAGAGAGACAGAACTTATAAACCATCGCAGCGATCTGAGGCATTCTTCAGTTCTAGCACATATTTGAACAACGTTCAAAAGAACCCACATACTTCAGTGGAATCGTACAAGTTCAACAGCTACAAGAACGAAGTCGAGCTGGTGATCAACATGGAGATCGCCACAAAAGCAGGTTGCAGATTTTGGTTGGGTGCTCAGGGCGCTATCATGACTGAGGACGTGGTACCCGCTGCGGCAATTATTGCAATTCGCCGCCTCAAACCACACCACATGCATGGCCAGCAGCTGTGGCCAGACGGCGACCCATGGGACTACCCGCCATTGGCAGCCAGAGAGCCATTGAGCAAGTACGAGATTTGCGCCTGCCTTCCTGGAGAACTTATTGACGACCCACCTGGATTGGCACCTATCGACCCCGACCAAGACATGGAGCCTCCAAGGATGACGCCAGCATCAGCACCCTCGGCCAGGCCGGGGGAAACCCCTGCTGGCCGTACATCCGCAGAGGACGCCTTGGACGAGCAAATGGTACGTGCTATGATCCAGGAGACCAATCACAAAGCAGATGATAAATAATGGTTGATTGCATTATCACATTGTCGTAAAGCTCTTCGACCAATCACAGCAAAGATCATGCAAAAAGATTGGGATCGTCGTCCTGCATTTAACGATGTTCGAATGGGCGACTTCATTGTCATTAAGAATTGGGGTTCTACCAAATGCTTCCACTACGACAACCATTGGCCCAAAGGCAATCACAATACCAAGATTGCCTTGTCCAAGGGACACATATATGGTCCAATCATCCATTTCGGCATCTTCGACAAGTTCTTTGCGGTACAAGTACCTATTCTCAACTACGGTTTACGATGGGTAAATATCTGGTATAATGACAAAAGCATGCCCCTCAAGGGCGTTGTATTTGCATTGCCGATTCGTATCGAAGAACACGCCATCGATCCTACATGGATGGAGACTGCCCTGAAAGGCCCGACATCTTGCAGCGAGGAGATACTGCAGCACAAGGTTAGCGGTAGCTTACCATACCTTGGAATGCCTAGCATCCATAGACCACGTATTCCGCGTACACCACCAAGAAGGCCCGCTCCACGGACACCTGATCCAGACGAGCTGGTGGCCACACCTGCCGAGGACAACGCTCAGACGGGCGACATTCCTCGACAGGGTACAGCATCATCGCATGATCCACTGATCACCGTAATCGTGGACATATCAAATATCGTTCTTACTGCAGATGAGAAAGCTGCGAACGACAACATGAGGGCAGACCTCTCGGCAGACATCCAAGCAGAAGAGCAGATCGAGGCAAGCATCTTCGATGACATCATTGATCCGCCATCGAATTTCCTTGATCATCCAGGCTACGACCCCGACGAGGATTCAAGATGGATTAGACAGTCTGATGATTGCCGCGTGTATTGTTGGACATCGGCGTTATTGGTGGATTCGCCTATGATCAAGATGAGGCAGATCATTGAAATACACAGTGGCGCAGACAGAATCGTAATGGACAAACTTCAGTCACACTTACAATTTGAAATTCGATTTGGATCGAAAGCATGGAACGCGGAGTCATATCATTTGAACTACAATCATACCCACAAGTGGGCGCATGACTTACCCAATTGTGGTGCAGATCACTTCTTCAAAAAGTTGGCACACTACCTCGACCCAGAGACTATCGAGGAGTCGACCACTGGCATCTTTCAATGGATTTCCAAAGTATACCAGAACATCTTGAAATATAGTATTGTGGAGCTACCACATTTCGCCAAGGAAGTCATCCATGACAACCATCCTGCACTTCAGGCATTGCGTGACCTATACGGTGATCCAGAGTTTCCCGTGTGGGAAGAGCTGGTGGAAACACCTGCTGCGCCTCGAGAGGAAGGCGCCGAGCAGGATATTCCCCAGGACCCAGGCAGTGTTGCGTCTGCAGCTCCCGATCAGGAGACCATGGTACGTATCATAGCCGAGCAGACGGGACTCAAGCGCGAGGAGGGCGACAACGAGGCCACCTTGCAGAAGCAGGCTCGCCGTCTTCGTGAGGAGAACGTATGCCATGGCGGTACTGAGGATACCGACAACGTCAAGATAGAGTACAAAGGACTGCCAGGGGAAAGGTTGTCTCGGATCGAGATCGAGGGTTTAAGCAGATCGACCGCTTCCAGACCGAACACCGAGATCAATCGTGAGGCGATCAATCAGATCGGTCAGAGCCTCGCTCGCGGTCAGGACACCCGCTGGGGATCCCGCGATCACCTGACTTCGGCAGGGGCCCCCGAGACGATCTTGCATCCCATGCCGCTCTGTAACAATTGCGGTCGAGATCTGTCCCTCGGTATCGTCACAGGTGACGGCACACTCTGTGATATATGTTGGCAATACACTGTGGCCGTAGGCGCCACAGGTAAGAGCACCGCCACACAGAGTGACCTCGCGTACCTCCAGAAGTTGACGAACTGGATCAAGACGACGTTGTCCGAGGACCAGGTCGCGAGATACATGAAGGATGGCGCACATGTCACTATGACGGGTGCGCGATCCCCCATAGGCGCAGAGAAAGATCAGTTGCGGAGATTGGCCAATACGTCCAAGAAGAGGTATCAGAAGTGGGTCGAAGCCGGTAGCCCGCCTGCACACGAATGCAGATTAATGGGCGAATCCGAGGACGACCGACCTCTGTACTACCCATACGCCAATCTCATTCAACGCTTTCTCAACGACCTCAGATTCCATCATCAGATGACAGGAGCCCGCGTGAATGTCGGCAAGAAGCCCTGGAGAGTCGAGGACATGCGCGACGCGTGGGACATCCTTGACGTCAGTATTAGGACAGGACAGGCTGGTCGGAGAAAGTGGTGGCTGAACGAGGGACGCATTGACAGGCAGACGCGGCAGGCGCGCGGACTGATTACGGTTTCTCTCCCTCGAGGGGACGGAACCCGTGAACAGTTCACCCAGCGCAAGCTTGCCGCGATTGCCAACGAGCTGATAGGCTCCCTCGATCCGTCACACACTGACCAGAGGGGGGGTAGTACAGGGATGAGAACCGATCCAGATACACACTCCCAACAGTCCGATGACGCCATGGAGCCGCGGCCGCCGCCGCGGCCGCCGCCGCGCCCTGCTCCTGGCGACGCCGCTGCATCCAGCGCCTCAGGCGCAGAGGACTACATGCCCGCGATGCCGCGCGCCAAGAGAGCACGTACATCTGATTACGCTGCTTACTGGCGCCACAATCTCGAGGACAGCGATTGGGGTCTTCGATACTGGAGTTATTACATCAAATGTTGGATCTACATTGCGATCAACAACGACGAGTATGTGTACATCCAGGATATCACGTACAACGATTGGTTCCGCAACTGGATCCCGAGGACCACTTGGGAAACGTTTGCGGCAAGCTATGTTACGTACAACGGCCAGAGGGTGTGGGACCGCAGGTTCTACAAGGACGGCGACGCGTAGTGAGTCGGCCGCAAGGCCCACTGCTCAAGAGCAGAACTTCCGTTCATCAAAGTTCGCCTTGAGCGGTGGCTAATACATTCTTTTAGGCCACTTCAATCTTTCACACAAGTGGCCATACACACATAGATATCTTTTGCGATCACCGAGGCAGCCTCCTAAGGAGCAACGCCAACGGGAGTCGCCAAACAGATTTTATACATCATTTTCGTGTTCATCAACACGACATTTTCTTCTGGACAGGTACTTGCTTTAACACAGATTTGCATTTCTTTCAGGATCGTGTTCGTCAACACCATCTGGGCATACATTTGCTTTTAGGCAGCCTTGTGTCTGATTTCAAGATTGTGTTCATCAGCACGATCTTAACATGCATATTTTAACAATTTAACAATATTGCGTCGAGAATAATCTGATGGCTGGTGGCAACACCTGCCTCGCAAAACTTGCGAGGCAGTTTACGTTGCCTTGATGCTCAGATCTTCTTTCTCCGCCTACCTTTGTCTCATTCTTCTCCTCCCTCGAGTGCCGAAGCGTTTTGGGGGGCGCACCGAGGGGGCGGCAAAGACCGCCTGGAGAAGAAAAGGAGACCCAAGGTATCTCTTCTTACCTCACTTTGCAGCTGTGGCTTCGCTGACTTTTAGCCCAGCTGCCTTTTCAGACTTAAGGTAAAGGAGTTCTGAGGTTACGGATTCCATCCTCCTGATCCCGAGTCCTGCCTTCACGGGCGGGATTCGGGACGGGGGGTGTGTGTGTGGAACCCGTGTAATACCCTCATATATACTCCTTATCCTTACCTCTCCCGCACCTGGCCGTTTGGGCTCAGGTACTGAGTTGGAGCGATCGTACCTTGATCGCTTGGGAGGGAAAGATATCCATCTATCCCTCCATCTCTCTACCAACGGATCAGGGGTTCTGTACTCTTGTACTTCAACCCCATACACACCTTCTCCCTCCCCAAGCCGTTCTGGGGCGAGCCAGGTGCTCGCTCTTGCGGGTGCAATCTTCAGAGCGGCGTGCCCCCGCGGGCCGATGGCGAATGGAGTTGAAGGTGGCGCGCGCGGTGCCAGCCAGGGTGGCGACCCCTGGACGTGCCGCTCGTGTGCTGCTGGCTACGTCAACATGGCATGGCGCACGGAGTGCAGGCTCTGCAAGGCGGCGAGGCCGCCACGTGGCGCTGGCACGATCGGCGAGGCCATCAACAAGGCCAAGGCGAAGGCCAAGGCCAAGGGGAAGGAGAAGGTCGTGGCGAAGCGCGTGCGCTTCGCCTCGGACGTGCCTGGGCCTGCCGCCGCCGCGGCCACGCCGGCGCCGTGGGCGCAGGGCGCGGCCAAGCGGGAGGCGGAGGAGCGGCCCAGCGGCAGCGGCGGCAGGGACGAGGAGGTTCGCCAGGCCCTCCTCCGCCACTTTGGCCCCAGGGAAGGCTGGTCGGCGGCCCTGGTCCAGGACTTCGGGGCCCTGGTGCCTGCGGAGGCCGCGCCGCCGCCAGCGAAGCCCTTGGCCGAGCTGTCGCTCCAGGCCCTCCTGGCCAGGGAGGCGAAGATCAAGGGCCAGGTCAGCCGTGCAAAGGCAGCGCTGGCGGCCGTCCAGGAGGAGCAGGCGGCCGTCGCGGTCCGCGTGGCGGAGCAGGCGGACGTCCTCCAGAAGCGGCGCGACCAGCTGGAGGAGGTGGCCGAGGCTGTGCGCGCGAGGAAGCGCGCTGACCTGGAGCAGCACAAGGGGCCGTCGCCCATGGAGGTGGGCGAGCCCGTGGAGGCCGAGGACTGCCTGGGCAAGGTGCTGCTCAAGGGCCTCGAGGGCCTCGAGGCGGAGCGGGAGAGGGTCCTCTTGCTCGGAGAGGAGGGCGGCGCCCTGCTCGCGATGGCCGCCGAGGCCCGCAGCCTCGTGGAGAAACTCGCCGCCGCCGACGCCCCGTGCTCGAGAGGCAGCGGCGGCCGAGCGGGCCAGCGCTGCTGCAGCCGCGGCCGAGCGGGCCGCCGCGGCGCAGGAGGCCGCCCCCGCGGCTGATGGCAGTGATGATGGCGCTGATGGTTCTCCTGGGGACCGCAAGCGCGTCGGCGACCTCCACCTTGGCCCCGAGCTCGTCGGGCTCGACGCCGTGTTCGACGAGGTGGGCATGGAGGACGAGCAGCAGCGCGCAGCCTGGCGCGCAGCGCTGGCCAAGCGCCAGCGGGTGGCAGGCCCCGCTTCTGGGTAGCCGCCCGCGGGCGGCGGACGTGGTGGAGCTGGTATCGGCCAACGCCACCGCGTGGGGCTCGGCGCAGGCGCTGGTCGAGTGGCTACACGACGACGTGGGGCGGCTGCCTGCGGTGCTCTGCCTCCAAGAGCATCGCCTCAAGGGCAAGCAGGCGATGGCTCGCGCGGCGGGCTGGATGCAGGCGCGCGGCTTCAGCTGGCATGGCCAGGCCGCGCTGCCGACGGGCTCAGGGCCGCTGGAGAGCTCGGGCGGAGTGGCCGTGGCCACGCTGCGGCCGTCGGCGGCCGCCGCCGCGCCAGGGCTCCCGGCCCATCGGTTCCAGGTGTGTGAGGTGAACCTGGGGTTCAGGGAGCCGTGCCGCGTCATCTCGGCCTACTTCATCACGAAGATAGGCAGGGCGAAGGGGAACATCGGGCTCCTGGCAGCGCTGCACGAGTTCGTGGGGCAGCTGGAGTCGCCGTGGGTCGTGATGGGCGACTGGAACATGGAGCCCGTGGCCGTCCATGAGTGGGCGCGCAGCGCAGGCGGTGCGCTCGTGGGCCCAGAGGAGCCGACCTGCGGCTCGAAGGTCTTCGACTTCGCGGTGGTCAGCAGGGCCCTCACGGGCTTTGCGGACGTGGCCGAGGTGCTGCGGAGGGCGCCGACGAAGGACCACGCGTCGTTCAAGGTGGTGCTCCGCGGCGTAGGGCCCGAGGCGAAGGTGCGGCGACCGCTCTTCCCCGCGGCCTTCCCGCTGCCGCTGCCGCCGCCAGTGCGGCCAGCGCCGCTCGAGCGCGCCTTCTCGGCCTGGAGGCCTGAGGGAAGGCAGTCGCTCGAGGAGGGCTGCCAGGAGTGGTTCGAGGCGGTCGAGGCCTACCTGATCGACCTCTACGAGATCGTTCCGCCCAGCCGCTGGAAGGGGCGCTCGGGCGGGCTTCGCATGCAGAGGGTCGTGATGGAGGCAGCCTGGAAGCAGGACTGCAAGAGGAGCGTCGGCGCTGCCTGCAGGCGCTGGATGTCGTTCGCGGCGGCATGCGCCCGCTGGCGCGCGCTGCAGGAGGCGGCGCCTGGAGGGCGCTGCTGGGCGCCGCTGCGCAAACAGCAGGAGGTGCTGATGGCGTTCGAGCTCGAGTGGCCAGAGGATGGCCCGCTGGCAGGGCTGTCAGTGGCCCGCGTGATGAGCTTGCTCAGCTCCTCCTCGTGCCAGCTGACGGTGCAGTTCGTCCAGGAGGAGGCGAGGCGACGCTGGAGGCTGGACAAGCAGCGGAAGGCCGCGGGGCGGCGCGCCTGGGCTCAGGCCGCGGCCACCGAGAAGGGCGGCTCGGCGGCCTACCGCTTCATCGAGCAGGTCGCGGTGGTGCCCACGGAGGTGATCGCGGGCGTGGACGGCAGCGACGACCTGCGCATGCCCGTCGCGGGCGAGGCTGCAGTGGCGGCGCTGCTGGAGGCGTGGCAGCCGCTATGGGTCAAGCCGTCGCGGGCAGGCGAGGCAGCGCCCGATAACTGGGACATCCAGGAGTCGGTGCTGCCGCCGCTGGAGCTCGAGGACCTCGAGCGCGTCCTGGGCACCTACCGCGAGGGGTGCGGCCTTGGGTGGGATAGGCTCCACCCGAAGCAGCTGCTGCGCCTCCCGCGGACCTACAGGCAGCGCTTCCTGGAGCTCCTCATGGCGCCTGGGAGCGGAAGCCTTCGCGGGAGGCGCTGTGGCAGCTGATCGTGGTGTTCATCCCCAATGCTACTGGCGGCCAGCGGCCGATCGGCCTCACTGCCATCTGGCTGAGGGTCTGGCGCAGGCTGCGGCAGCCGCTGGTGGCCCGCCCGTGCGAGCGCGCGGGGGTGGTGCACAACCTCCTGGCGGCCTTCGCGCGCAGCAGAGGCCTCTCGGCGGCCACGGGCGTCACCGACCTGGCGAAGTTCTACGGGCACGTCAGCCACGAGGATCTGCGCGTGCAGGCGGCCGCCACGAAGTTCCCGCTCGCGCTGCTGCAGTGCTACTGCGTGTCGTACCGCACGCAGCGCCGCGTGTCCTGGCGCGGCTCGGTCTCCAAGCCGTTCGAGGCGAACGGCATCATCGTGGCTGGATGCAGCGGCGCGGTCGGGCTGGCCAAGCTGCTGGTGCACACCCTCTTCGTGAAGATCGTGCGGGGGAACCATGCGGTGCGCCTGCAGAATGTCGTCGACGACGTGCTGCTGCAGACGGCCGGTGGCAGGGCGCAGGTGGTGCAGCAGCTCCCCAGGGCCATGGCGGCCCTCACGGAGGGCCTGGTCGCCAAGGGGCTGGTCATCTCGCAGGCGAAGACGGGCTACCTGGCGAACAGCGAGGACCTCGGCGACGAGCTGGACGGCTGCTGGGCGCACGGGCCGCTGGCCCGCTGGACTGGCGCCCGTTGCCTCGGCGGCGACGCCGCTGATGGGCGCTGGAGGCGCGTGCGCGAGCAGGGCGCTCGGCTCGGCCGCGCGGCGGAGGTCAGCGCGAGAGCGCGCCTGCTGCGCAGCGCAGGTGCGCAAGTGGGCCACATCCAGAGAGGCAGCCCCGCGGCCATTGCCATCTGGGGCTCCGCGGTGACGGGCCTCGCCTGTGGGAAGCTGCATGGCCTGCGGATCGCCGCCATGCGTGCGGAAGGCAGGCTGCCCATTGGCGCCAGCGTCGGCCTGCGGCTGCGGGCGATGCGCGGCGCGGCCTACCGCGACCCCTTCGTGGTGCATGCGGTGGAGGTGGCGCGCTCCTGGGGCATGGCGCTGGAGACGGGCCTGCCCAGCGCCGCGGTGGTGCAGGAGTGCTGGCTTGGGGCGCAAGGCTTGCTCGACCTTCGCCGCCCCTGGGGGCAGTGCCGCGACCCTGCGCAGGCATGCGCGCTGGCGCTGAGGCGGGTCGGCATCGAGATGGTGGCCTTCAATACCGTCATCGACTGGCAGGCGCGCGTCCTCTCGCTGGAGTTCTACTCGCCTGGCACGCTGGCGCAGGTGGCGCGGGAGTCGGCGATGCTGGCCTCGGACGTCCTCGCGCTGAAGCGGCTGCGCGGGCCAGGAGCCTGGGCATGGCCAGTGCACTGGAAGGGGCTGGAGCGCCTCCTCCACGCGCGCCGCCGCCCCGAGGGGCAGGACGACGTCGAGGCCGCTGAGGGCGCAGGCTGCCAGGGGCCCGCGCCGCCGCTGCTGCACTGGCAGGCCCGCCACAGGCGAGCGCTCGCAGCGGCCCTTGGCGGCTCCCATTGGCCGCAGGAGCGCCTCTGGAAGGAGGGCAAGGCGCGCGACGGCCTGTGCCGCCTCTGCGGTGGCCGTGGCACGTTGTGGCACAGGGCCTTCGAGTGCGAGGCCTGGCAGATGTTGCGGCGGGGTGCGTGCTCGCGGGAGCTGCTGGAAGGGGGTGCGGCTGGTGGCGCAGCGCGGGGACGCTGCGGCGGAGCTCTTCGCGCGGGCACCCCGCCCTGGCCTTCCCTGCGACGGCCGACGCCGCGCTCGCGGCCCCTCGCTGGTTTGGAGTGCCGCCTGGCTCGAAGTTCGAGGGCAGGGTCTTCGTGGACGGCAGCGCCAGGTTTCCCGCGCTGCGCGGGGCCCGCCGCGCAGGCTGGGCGGTCGTGCAGATCGGCCTCGGCGGGGGGGCCATTGGCGGGATGCACGGCATCGCCCCGCGGGCGTACGGGCCCAAGCAGGAGGCCAGGGACGGCGAGGACTACGCGTTCCACATGCTTGCCCAGTTCTGGTTGCCGTCGGCCGATGGCTCGGGCCTCGAGGTCTTCTGCGACTGCGCGGGCACGGTCGGATTGGCGCTCTCGCAGGGCAAGGCCCTCGCGCCACTGCAGGCGCGCCGCCACCTCTGGCAGGAGTGGTGGGCCGGGCCAGGCCCGGCGGCCACGGTGCGGAAGGTCAAGGCGCACAAGGAGCTCTCGGCAGCTGCCACCTGGGAGGAGGAGTCTGATCAGGGGCAACAGGGCAGCCGACCTGTGGGCCAAGCGAGGCGCGGCGCTGTGGCCGATCGACGAGGAGCTGGTCTGGTTCCTCCAGGCGTGCGCCTGGCGCGTGGAGGAGCTTGGGCGCTGGGTTGGCGAGCTGGCCGCCACCATGGTGGACCGAGAGCAGCTGGACTCAGACGGGGTCGTGGGCACGGCCGACCTCGTCTACGACATCCCGCAGGAGGCGCTGGACGCGGCGGAGCAGGCCGACGCGGAGGTGGCCAGGCGCCTGGTGCTGCTGCTGGGGCTGCTGCTGCTGCTGCTGCCAGGCGCCCGCCGCTGCCGCGGCTGCCGAGCTGGCGGAGGCGGCTGCGGCCGCTCCCGAGCTGAAGGCCGCGATTGCAGGAGCAGGTGTGGCGCGGGAGGTTCGTGGGCACTGCATCGTCGTCTCGCGCCTCGAGAACGGCGATGGGGCCGTGGCCTGGTGCATGAAGTGTGGTTGCCGATTCTGGAAGCGGTCCCCTCCTGCTGGGACAGGCCTGCTGGGCAGCTGCAAGGGACGGCCAGCCCCTGGCGAAAGGGCGGCGGAGGCGAGGCGGCTCCTGATGCGCCTCCAGGAGCCCAAGAGCAAGGCCCGGCTCTCGGCCCCGCAGCCGCCCACGCTGGAGGAGCAGGCGCGGCTCGAGGCGGTGCTCCGCGACGGCGCAGACGGCGTGGCAGGCGCGGGCGCTCCCGCTGGAGCAGGGAGGCCGCCGCGCTGGGGGCTGCGGCCAGTCGTGGCGGACGCCTGGCAGGCGGCGGAACTCCAAGGCTTCGCCTCGCCCGCCGCAGCGGCCCGCTGGGCGAGGGCTCGAGTGGCGGCGGGCAGGGAGTCGCCCTTCGGCGACGGTGGCGCGGTCTGACAGCCGCGCAGACGGCACCTGGTTTAGCCTGCCGACAGGGCGCCAGGGGGCCGAACAAAAAATGGCCCCAACAAATGGCCTTCTCCCCCCCCATCCACCTCCCCCCCTCCTCCCCCTCCTCCTTCTCCTCCTCCTCCTCCTCCTCCTCCTCCCCCTCCTCCTCATCCTCCTCCTCATCATCATCATCCCTTCCACGCGGGGCCCATCCCCAAGCCAAGTGATGTGGGATACACCGCATCCCCGCAGCATGCTGGAACAGCACCCCCGGGCTTCGAGCGGGTGGGTCAATGCCAGCGGCTCACCCCATGGATCCCGCATTCGGGGACGGATCACATATTGCAAATGCGCAGGATGGTGAAGACGACGTGGTGCGACCCCGCATGCATACGAGTCGCGAACGAAATCACGAAGCCAGGAGTTGCCTGACCTCGACAAGCTCACCTCGATCTTCGACGTGTTCCGCAGTCGACGTGTCCACACGAACGCCTTGCTAAGGTGACTGGATGCAAGGCCGAATTCCCCGAGGAGCCAAACGGAACTGGACAGTGGCATGCCTCGAGCCGCTCGTGGCTGGGAGAAGGAAGAGGAAGATAACGGCGGGCAGGAGGGGAACGAAAGAGGAGGAAGAGGAGGACAGCGTCTTTCGCCTCTTCCTCCTCATCCTCATGTTCCTTTCGTCCCTTCTCGGGCGCCTGACAGCCTGCCACTGTGCGCAGGCCCTCTTTGCGGCCATCGCCGCCTCTCTTTAATCGGCTAGAGCCTGCCCAGCGGGTGCTAGACCTTGATTGCCCCATTGCCCCTTGCCCCTCGTCGTTGTCTTCCGCACCCCTCACCCCGGAGGGCCGGGCCACTACGGAGGCGGCGGCGCCCCCCTCGGCGACGTGGATAGGCGGCGCCGCCTCCCCAGCACCATCCGACGCCGACGAGGGGGACGACGACAACGACGAAGACGACGACGACGAGGAGGACGACGACGACGACGACGAGGAGGAGGACGACGACTACGACGACGACGAGGGCGACGAGGGCGACGACGAGGGCGACTGTCAAGAGGAGGCGGACGACGACGACCACGACGAGGACGACGACGAGGGCGACGAGGGCGACGATTGCATCGACAGCGAGGGCGGCGACGACAACAAACAGGATGACAGCAAGGACAGCAGCAACGGACAGGCAGCGCCCCACCCCGGACAAGGCCAGCGATCCCAGGAAGGTCTCGCAGGGGCATCCGCCGGTCATTTTTGACGTCTTCGAATGTTTCCGTCGCGGGCCCGAGAGGCTCTTTCCGCCACGGGTCCCAAAGGCACGCCGTCTGCGAAAAGGGCCTCGCCGTCCACGGATCCAGAGGGTGACCTCTATGGCGAGGAGCGGCGGAAGGTCTGCGGAAGCAAAGTCAAACGAGGGCCGCTCTGGCGGCGGAATATTGCAGAAGGCTGTTGGAAGGCTGGCAAAGTGCAGTACGGTGGGGGCGTTGGTGAAGGCATGTGCCCAGAAGGTTTCGGACTCTGGCAGCTTCCTCATCCGATGAGGGCGGCGGTGATATCAATGCCAGGCTGTTGTTGGGAATCCCTCAGCTTCCAGGCCCAGGATTTCTTACCTGAAGAGTTTCTTATCTGATGACGCAGTAGGAGCGATGTGTAAACATGTCGTGTTTCTCAGGGCTGCCGCGGGCGGCCCCCAAGCTCTCAGGCGGAAGAGGCGAGCACGAGGTGGGGATTGCTCAGCCTCCTCCTCCTCCTCCTCCTCTCCTCGTGCCTCGTGGGAGGCGCTCAGCAGAGTCCAGCAGAGTCCTCCTCCTCTCCTCCCGGACGCTGGGCGCTTGGATGCCCGTCTGGGGGCGCTGCGTACCATCCCCCCCCTGGGGCGGCTGCCCCTGGGGGCGTGTGGTGTGGAGAGCAAGCCGGTAGACTGCGTGGCCACAGGAGCGAGAGCGAGGATTGCCATGGGGGCGGGACGTGGCCCCCCGTGGCCCCAGACGGGAGGGAATGGGGCAAGAGCGACGGGCCGGCGGCGACGAACCCGAGGAGGCAGACGGAGAGGAGGCAGGTGGACAGGCGCGCGGCAGTGCCGCCTCCTCCTCCTCCTCCTCCTCCTCCTTCTCCTCCTCCTCCTCCTCCTCCTCCTCCTCCTCCTCCTCTGATCCCCTCCTCTCCTCCTCCCTCCTCCTCCTCCCCGCAGCTGTTGCCGCAGGGAGCCGCTTTGGCTCAAGACTGGTCTGTCTGCCCAACACCCTCCGTTGCCCCCCCCACGCCTGCATGCCCGTGCGCTCGCATGGCTGCCGGGCTCCGCCTGGCGCTCTTGGCCGCCCTGTTGGCGTTCCTGCCCGCGCCCCTCCCTCGACGCCGAGCGGCGGGTCGCGGAGGCTGGGGGCGCCCAGGAGGGGTCAGGTCGGGGCTCAGGAGACCCCGACCCCTTCGAGTCATGAATAAATCACGGCGGGAGGTTCGCTATTTTGGGCCCCTGGGGGTCCTCACCGGGCCTGGGGACTGCCAAACAACGACTCAGGATGAAACGCCGGTCCCGGGGAATGGGTCGAGACCTTCAGAGTTGACGTTATGAAACAAACATGACGTCGAGGGTCTGGGGACATTTCTGGCAACCTGGAGACACCTGTTCCTGGCCTTCTGTGGGCCCCGGAAGTAGCGGTTGACCGTTCGTCGCTTGTCGTTTTGACAAGAGGTCTTTGGAAGACGGAAGCGGTAGAGAAATGGCTCCCAGAAGCGGATTTGGAATCAGAAACGGAACCCGAATCGGACAAAGCACGGCAAGAGAACCAGGGAAGAAATGGCGCCAGAATTGGTAACAACATAAGAAAGGAGCCAGTACAAACACGGCCTTGCAGTTTCCAGGGCCCACGAAGTCTGGCGGCGAAATCCGAGCCTCACCCACGCCGATCAATGACTTAGGCGACTCGATGGGCGGCGTACTCGTGGCGGAATTCTGGTCGAACCCCCTTCTCACATGATTCGAAAGACAAAACAACGGCATAAGGCATAAGCATAGACCTTTTTGACGGTCTGCGCGGATTTCTGGGATCTGCGCTGGGGTGCCCTTCGCGGCGCCTCAGGCGCCGGCCCTGGCGCGCTCCGCGCGCCAGAGAGGAGGGGAGACATCCGCGCGGACCGTCGAAAACGTATGGTGATGCCGTTGTCTCTTTCGTCGAACCATCGATTCGGGAGAACCGATGGTTGGTGTGGGTAGGGTTAAGTGGGGCCTGTCCCCCTACAGGAGGAAGGCTCAAAATAGTCAAAAGATAGTCGGGGGACTATTTTTTGAGTATGTGTGAGCATTTTTGGTGCAGCTGTCCCAAATCCGCCTGTAGGGGGACACGCCCGACCGAAGGACAGGGTTCGGACGTCGCCACATAGATGGTGGGGTCGCCTGCGTTGAGGTGTGCGCCCGGGAGGCTGCGCAGACCCTGGAGCATGCCTCGCCTGCTGGGGGCGGCGGTGGCATCCATGGCGGAGCCTCGATTGGGGTTCCACCAGCTTCTAGACTAGGTCGGGCCTGTCCCTCTTCAGGAGGAATATTCAAAATATTAAACTAATAGTGCGTGGACTATTTTTCGGGCGTGTTTTGACAATTTTGATGATTATTTTGACAATTTGTTCCCCACATCCTGAATGGGGTTCTTGTTTTCCCAGAACATCCTCTCCTCCTCCTCCTCCTCCTCCTCCCGCTTCCTCCTCCTCCCGCTTCCTCCACCATCCCATACTGCATCATACCATACCAAAACCATGCCACTCCATACCATACCTTACCATACCATACCATGCATCCACCATCCCATACCATACCATGCCTTTCCTCACACCATGTTATTTATCAGGCTTCGTGCCCCTCCCACCCCTCCAGGGAGGCCCCGCCTGAGCGAGCAGGGTATTCGCACACCATGCTATTTATCAGGTTTCGCGCCCCTCCCACCCCTCCAGGGAGGCCCCGCCTGAGCGAGCAGGGTATTCGCACACCATGTTATTTATCAGGTTTCGTGCCCCTCCCACCCCTCCAGGGAGGCCCCGCCTGAGCGAGCAGGGTATTCGCACACCATATTATTTATCAGGTTTCGTGCCCCTCCCACCCCTCCAGGGAGGCCCCGCCTGAGCGAGCAGGGTATTCGCACACCATGTTATTTATCAGGTTTCGTGCCCCTCCCACCCCTCCAGGGAGGCCCCGCCTGAGCGAGCAGGGTATTCGCACACCATGTTATTTATCAGGTTTCGTGCCCCTCCCACCCCTCCAGGGAGGCCCCGCCTGAGCGGGCAGGGTATTCGCACACCATGTTATTTATCAGGTTTCGTGCCCCTCCCACCCCTCCAGGGGGCCCCGCCTGAGCGAGCAGGGTATTCGCACACCATATTATTTATCAGGTTTCGTGCCCCTCCCACCCCTCCAGGGAGGCCCCGCCTGAGCGAGCAGGGTATTCGCACACCATGTTATTTATCAGGTTTCGTGCCCCTCCCACCCCTCCAGGGAGGCCCCGCCTGAGCGAGCAGGGTATTCGCACACCATGTTATTTATCAGGTTTCGTGCCCCTCCCACCCCTCCAGGGAGGCCCCGCCTGAGCGAGCAGGGTATTCGCACACCATGTTATTTATCAGGTTTCGTGCCCCTCCCACCCCTCCAGGGAGGCCCCACCAGAGCGGGCAGGGTATTCGCACACCATGTTATGTATCAGGTATCCTGCCCATCCCACCCCTCCAGGGAGGCCCCGCCTGAGCGAGCAGGGTATTCGCACACCATGTTATTTATAAGTTTTCGTGCCTCTCCCACCCCTCCAGGGAGGCACACCCAGTGCCCCTCCCACCCCTCCAGGGAGGCCCCGCCTGAGCGAGCAGGGTATTCGCACACCATGTTATTTATCAGGTTTCGTGCCCCTCCCACCCCTCCAGGGAGGCCCCACCAGAGCGGGCAGGGTATTCGCACACCATATTATTTATCAGGTTTCGTGCCCCTCCACCCCTCCAGGGAGGCCCCACCAGAGCGGGCAGGGTATCCGCACACCATGTTATTTATCAGGTTTCGCGCCCCTCCCAACATTCCAGGGAGGCCCCGCCAGAGCGGGCAGGGTATTCGCACACCATATGATTTATCAGGTTTCATGCCCCTCCCACCCCTCCAGGGAGGCCCCACCAGAGCGGGCAGGGCATTCGCACACCATATTATTTATCAGGTTTCGTGCCCCTCCCGCCACTCCAGGGAGGCCCCGCCAGAGCGGGCAGGGTATTCGCACGCCATATTTTATTATTAGGTTTCGTGCCGTTCCCGCCCCTCCAGGGAGGCCCCACCAGAGCGGGCAGGGTATTCGCACACCATGTTATTTATCAGGTGTCGTGCCCCTCCCACCCCTCCAGGGAGGCCCCACCAGAGCGGGCAGGGTATCCGTACACCATATTATTTATCAGGTTTCGTGCCCCTCCCACCCCTCCAGGGAGGCCCCACCAGAGCGGGCAGGGTATTCGCACACCATATTATTCATCAGGTTTCGCGCCCCTCCCACCCCTCCAGGGAGGCCCCACCAGAGCGCAGACAAGAAGCAATGGAACCCCGTAACATCTTTATGTGGGGAACTCCGTTAGCATAATTATTTTTCGTCCACAAGCCCCCTGTAGAAGGACAGGCCCGGATGAAGTCTAGACTCTGGGTTCTTGATTCAGTACAGTCGGACCGAGGTACAAGATCGAGGTCGGTTCGGCGAGGGTGTCCTCACGTTCTTCGTGTTTGTTGGATCTCTTTTGAGTTTGGGGGGAGGGTACCCTCGAATGTTTTTCTGTTCTGCCGGCGTCGGAGGCCAAACATGACCCAAAACCTTCCGTCGTGCTTTTGGTTCGCAGCTCGACCACGTCTGGGTATCCGACGCCTCCACCGCCGAAGCCTGGGCCCCGCCCTCCACCCCCCGGCGCCCCGAGTCGGACGGGGCCAGGACGAGGACGGATCCGTCCCAGAGCGTCCCGGAGAGCTCCCCTGCAGAGAGCTCTGGGACGCGCAGGGAAGGCCGCGGCGCCCGAGACGTCCTCCCGAGCTGCTTGATCTCAGAGCTTCTCGATTTACCCCGCTCCTCTTTCTCCCCGACATTCCGCCCTGGCCTATTTGCCGTGTTTCGCGGTGGTTGGCGTGGGTTCTTCCTTGAACTGCGTCGGGTCCCGTGTTCGATGTACCATCGGTGTCCGGTCGGTGTCCCGTCGGTGTCCCGTCGGTGTCCCGTCGTTGTCCCGATTGGTGTCCGGATTGGTGTCCCGTGGGTGTCCCGGTTGGTGTCCCCATTGGTGTCTTGATGTTGCTCTGCCGGTGCTTCGATGGTGTCTCGATGTTTTGGTTGCTTCCCGATAGGTGCCCCAATTGGTGTTCCGATGGTGTCCTGGTGGTATCCAGGTGTTGTACCAGTTGGCGTGTCGATTTGTTCACCCATCGCAAGCAACGCCACCATCATAATCATCGCAGTTGTCCTCAGTTGGTTCTTTCTCCCTCAACCTCCTTATGACCCGAAGGGTGCTCGTATATCAGAGGTTGGGGGGTGAGTCCGACGTGAAACGTGGACCCCCCCTACCGGGAAATCGGTTTCGGTTTCGGGTTCGTGTCGTGCATGCCGTGCGTGCGTGCGGGCGAGGCGAAGCTGCGTGGTCGGGCGAGAGGACGTCCTCCTGTGGCTGGGCCGCGGCCGGACCAAATGTTTCTCCTCCGGCGGCCCTTGGCCCGCGGTGTCCCGCCGGTGTCCCGCTGGTGTCCCGACATCCTCCTGTGGCTGGGCCGCGGCCGGACCAAATGATTCTCCTCCGGCGGCCGGTGGCCCGCGGTGTCCCGCCGGTGTCCCGCTGGTGTCCCGACATCATCCTGTGGCTGGGTCGCGGCCGGACCAAATGATGCTCCTCCCGTCAAACGGTGGCCCGCGGTGCCCCGCTGGTGTCCCGCCGGTGTCCCGCCGTGGGTTGTGCGTTTCAAAACATCGCCGCTTGCGGCGAGCTATCCAATGCAAGTCTGCATTCAAACCGACATGCAGACCGAAAAACACATCGAAATGCACATCGATTTGCACGTCCAAATCGTAAGGCGCCGTGGGCGCCGCGGCGAGCTTTTCAATGCACGTCGACATGCACATCGAAAAGCAAATCGAAATTCACATCGATATGCAAATCCAAATGCATATCGCAGTGTCCCGTGGTGTCCGGTGATGTCCCGTGGTGTCCCGTTGAGTGAGATCGATAGTGAGATCGATTGAGTCAGATGTTGGTTCCCCCTTTCCCACCCCCCCACAACCTTTTTATCACCCGAAAGGTGGTCGAATAGGTAGGCTATCGCAGGTTGAGGGGTGAGATCGAAGTGGAACGGAGAGAAACCCACCAGGAAGTCGGTTTCGGTTTAGGCTTCGTATCGTGAGTGCGGGCGAGGCGAATCTGCGTGGGCTGGCGAGAGGAATGACGCCACTGTGGCTAGGACGGACCAAGACAAAAGACCGTCCCTCAGGTGGGCCGCCGTGGCTAGGGATGCCCCGCTGTGGTGACCGTCCCGCCGTGGTGTCCCGCCGTGGTGTCACGTCGGTGACCCGTCGGTGTCCGCGGGCGATGGCCAGGGGTGTCCCGCCGCGGTGTCCCGGCACAGTCCCGTGTGCAGTGTCCCGTCGTCGTTTTCGCCAGCACTGTGTTGGCCCATTGCATCATGCAGTGTCGTCAGCATCATCGTCTCGCATCGCCGCCCAGTCGTGAGGGCATCACCAGCTGCGCCACCGATTCAATCATCGCAGTTGTCTTCCGTCGGCTCCTTCCCCCCAAACATCCTTATCACCCGAAGGGTGGTCGTATAGGTCTTCGGGCCCTCGTGGGGTCAACGCATCCATGTCCGCCGCCCACCGAGGTCCCCGAAGATCGATCCAGAGGCAGCGGTCACGTGTAATTCCCTGCCTCGCACCTGCAGTCAAGTCGGGCCTGTCCTTCTTCACGAGGACTAGTCAGAAGTAGTCAAAACTAGTCTGGAATCGCTGTGACCCGTATTTGTTTTTAGCATGTTTTGCGTATTTGTTGGATTCTTCCTCCAGCATCTGCCTGCAGGGGGACACGCCCGACCTAAGCCTACAGCCTAGACGCTGAGACAAAAGGACCGTTTTGGGGGGGTTGTGGAGGGGCATGGCGGGTGGTCCTCTGCACAGTGCTCATGTCTGATTCTTCGAAGGTCCTTTGATTTTTTGGGGGCCAAGATGCTTTTCATTTCTAAGTGTTCTGTCCTGGGCGTCTTCCTGGCCACTAGGCACTGGGGGGCCAGGAACACTTAGAAGCGAGCACGAACAGAAATGAGCGACGTGTAGCCCTCCTCGTACACCCAGGCTCCTCGGGTGTCAAACAGGGGCCTTGCTTTTCATGGAGCGCTGCTCTCGTCAGCAGCCCGACCGTACCCCCTGGGGCGAGGAGGGTGCTGCGAGACCCGACGGGCACGACACCGCTCCCTGCCCACGGGCCCGGGATGGGGGGGCTGGTCCGGGCAGCAGGGCCTGGGCCTGCCCAGCCGGGCACGGGGATCGGCCGGACGATGCTGCTCAGGTCGGCCTTGCCGTACATGTACCTGCACGCGGCGCAGGATTGGGTAGCAAATCGTGGCAGTCTCGTATACATGTAAGGGGGCCACATGCGAGCCCTACCCCGACCCCCTCAGAAATCGTGGGGGGTAGGGGTAGGGTTCGCATGTGGCCCCCTACATGTGTATCTCCACCTCCAGAGCGCATTCGCGTCGGTTACCGTCTGGTAATCGATGGGGCAGCGCCGACTCTGCGCCCACTCTGCGTCGACTGGTGTAGCGTCGACTCCCGCCGTCTAGCGTCGACCAGCGTCGATTCGCGAGAGCCAGCAAGATGGTAGGGCAGGCGCCCATGGAGTTGCCACCGAAGCAGGAGTTTGTGGTCAGGGCCGGCCGCGCGCTTGCCAAGGTGGCCCCCGCGGTGGGGCCCGGCGCGCTGGACGTCCTCGCCCGGGCCGAGAGGGCGCCGAACGTCGAGGAACGCCGCGTGCTGCACATCTCGAGGAGCAAAGAGCAGCATGAACATACCATCTGCGGCCAGCCCAGGTGATCGTTTTTGTTATTCATTGTTTTGCCGATCGGCGCGGGCCCTCACATCCCCCCCCCTTCCCCCCCCCATGGAGTGGATCTTGGCTGTTTTTGGCGCCTGCTTCGAGCAGGTGGAGTCCCTTCCCCACAGGACGTACTGTCGCAACCAGTCGCACTAAGCAGAGGTCTGGAGCCAGACCCCCCCCTCACCCCCTTTCCGCCGAATGTCGAAACGCCAAATAAAACAAATCCCACCAGGGGGGAAGTGAGAGGGGATTGGACCGTTGAGGTATCTGAGGTGGCCCAGCACTGGTTCTGGCATGCAGGAAGGACGGGCAGGTCCGAGGTTCAGGATTCGTGACGGCTTCTGTTCAGATGTCTTTGCCTCTGGGGACCGTCCCTGGGCCCCAGGACGGACCGTGAAAAACAGACCCGGGGGGAACAACTGCACCAGATGGACTCCGGGAGGAGTCCGAGCACCGATTGTGAATGGATCTGGCCTCATTTGCCAGTTTGAAACATACCTCGCCCCGGTGCCGATCTCAAGGGTTCCCTCAGTTTCTGAGGGCATATCCCTGAGGTTGTCTTCCCTTCTTGCTCGCCCATCTTGGGGCGGGCGGGTTGCCCATTCCCCCCCCCCCCCGTGACGCTCTTCTGGGGTCCCAGCCGGCGCAGGGCCCCCTGGCCGCCTCCAGAGCGGCGAGAGGGGGCGGGCTCTCCCAGAGGGCTTAAGTTTGGCCTGCCCCTCTCCAGGAGGAATCTTCAAAAATGGTAAAAGAAATACTCTGGGGACGATTTGTTTGAGTTTTTTTAATTGTTTGAAGTATTTTGGAGGAACATGTTTGACTATTTCTCTTATTTTTCGTCCAAGATCCGCCTGTAGGGGTAAGCAGGAGGCCATGGTTGTGCGTGAGGTGGCCAGGCGGGGTGCTTTGAAAGCCTCTGCCGCCCCCCTGCCCTGCTTGGAGGCCATCCGAGCCCGCATAGCGGCTCGGGAGTCTGCAGGGAGGGCGGCGTAACCATCGAACTGTCGAACTGGTCGGGCAACAGTGCCCCCCCCCAACAACAAAAAATCCACTTGTAGGGGGGACATGCCCGACCTCACAGAGGGCGCAGGGGCTCCTCAGACGCCCTCGCGCCTCCTGCGAGAGGCCCTGGGCGAGCCTCCTGCGGGAGCCACGGGCGGCCTCTCTGAGGGCCCCCCGCCGCCTTTGGGCAGGGCCTGCCCCCGGGACCCGCCGCCGGTGCGATGAACTCGGGCCTGTCCCTCCACAGGGGGAAAAAATATTGGGGTACGATGTTTCGAGCATCTTCTATATCATTTTTGATGCGTTATGACACTTTTCTATTTCTCGTCGACCATCGGCCTGTAGGGGGACGTGCCCGACCTAACACGAGGAAGCCCGACACATTCAAGCAGTGGCGAAGCGCCCTGGCTCGCCTATAGCCCCACCCAAAACTGTTCTAAGAACCCTTTTGGTTCCTACGACATGTTCTTAGAACATTTCTGGCGGAGTCTGTCTTGTTTTGTCACATCGGGCTTATGTTCTAAGCACATTGTTTTTGTTATTAGAACATGTCTGGGTTCTAAGATCATTTCGTGGTAGGACTATAGGGATGCCGGGACGGTCGGTCCCTGCTCAAGAGGTAGCCTCAACCCTACCCTCGTCCCGATTTCGCCTTTTCGGGCATCCTCGGGGGCTTTGTCGCAACCGTTGGGTTCGCCTCGAACTTCTGATCAGAGCACAGCCTGGAAAAGGTCCGAGAAGGACATCGGCCCCCGCTGGTTGCGCGGGGGTAGCGTAGGGGCGTTCGTCAAGGATTGTGCCCAGGAGGCTGCAGACACTGGAGGATTCCTTACCCGATGAGGGCGGCGGTGATATCCGTGGCAAATCCACGATTCGATTTCCACCGGCTTCCAGACCCTGGTGGAGTTCCAACGGCTTCCAGACCCTGGACTCCTTGTTCAACGGTTCTTCATCCAATGCCTTCACCGAAGGGATTATCGATTTGGCCCACTTTGCCGTATAGGTGGGTTACAACTCTCCTGCGTGGCTTTTTGGGTTCAGATAACTCCGCCAAGCGGGCGGAGCCCACGTGGCCCAGACCGCTAACCTCCCTAAGCCGTTTATGGCATTTGTGACGTCTAATAAGCTAGGTCAGGCCAGATCTAACCCACCTCGGCAGCGACATTGAAACCCCTACACCCTTGGCAACTCCCGCGCGGAACCAAGAAGTTTAGTATCGAGGTAAACTTCCGGAGGTCCGCGCGGACCTCCGGAAGTTTTCGACGTTGTCGAAGATTTGTTGTCCCGGAAGTTTTCGACGTTGTCGATTATTTGTTGTCCCCGTGGTGATGACGGGCGTCATGAGGGGGATGGGGAGGGGGCCGGCGGTAACGTCACGATTTGTGTTTGCACCGTCGGGCAGTGTGTAGAAATGTTTAGGGATGTCTATACTGTGCAGACGGCGCCAGCGTGAATCGTGACGTTACCAGGGGGGAGGGGACGCGGGCTGGTAACTGGCGCTGTCGTGTACTATCACGAAATAGGCAGTTCATGTTTATGCAGTTCCTTGTTCCTTGGAAATCCGGCTGAGCCGTGAAATTGTTCAGGAGGCTCTGCAGGCGAAGTGCGCCAGCCTGTTCCTGAGGGAGTCCAGCGTCGTCACCCAGGTGGAGAACCTCACAGCCGACGTCCCTTTCGGCGTCATGCTGGCCTCTGACGCCGACGGCATACATGCGCACAAGTGCCCGAACCCATACTCCTGCTCGCTGCCTCGCCACCAGGCGATGAGGCCTGCAACTGCCAGCAGCAGCACCGCGCCCAAGGATCAGGGGCCAAGAAGAGACAAGCGCAACCGATCCCCTCTCAGGAGATCGCAAACATGGATTAAGGGGGCATGGATTAGCGACAGGTCCCGTTTCCATGGGAAATAACGGATTTCCGTCTTTGAGCGAGGTGGCACTGGTCGCATTTTTGTGACGGCACCTCCCCCGATCCATGGATTTGGCGACCGCGCGCCAAATCCATGGATCGCTAGTCCATGTTTGCGCGCCCCCGATCCTCTCCCCCCACAACAAAAGCAACCGATGGGCCATGGGAATCGCGGCTGGCGCCACCCCCTTTCCGATCCCGCCCCGCCAGCGTGACCTGCGCGCGACACTTTGAGATCGGTCGCCACGCGCAGCTCAGCACCGCTTCGGAGTCGGGGTCGACCTCGAAGGGGGGTCGCCACCAGATCATGGCTTCCTCGTGCAGCCTCGCAGGTCCGTTTTTAGAGCGCACTCGTACTCGATGAGACAGCGCCGAGTCAGCGCCGATCAGCCTCGATGAGCGTCGGTTCTCAAGAGTCATCAAGATGGTGCGGGAGGGTCCCCAATCATGCGACGTTCTGATTGTGCCCCCAACCATTCTGTGATGTCAGGTCCTCGTTTTGATGAGACAGCGCCGCGCGTCTCCTCTCCTCCTCCTCACCCTGCTCCCACCCTTGTCTGTGCCCTCTGTATTGAGCGCACGCAGTACAGCGCTTCGTGTCCTAATAGGGAGGTCCACCGGATGCCCCAGTGGCTGTGATCACATGCGTCCACGCCACCCATGTCGGCACACCCCTTATACGTTTCGTGGCCTCAGAAGGAGCTCCACCGAAGTTCCCAGTGGTTGTGATCAAACCCCTCCCCGCCACCCATGCTGGCACACCCCTCACACGTTTCGTGTTCCCCTGGGAGCTCCATCGAAGGCCCCATTGGCTGATCACATGCGCCCCCGCCACCCATGTCAACACACCCCCTCACAAGTTTCGTAGCCTCCTGGGGAGCTCCACCGAAGGCCCCAGTGGCTGTGATCACATGCGTCCCCGCCGCCCATGTCAGCGCACCCCCTTAATTACACGTTTCGTGGCCCCCTTGGGAGCTCCACCGAAGGCACTAGTGGCTACGATCACACGAGCCCACGCCACCTATTTCGGCACACCCCTCACACGTTTCGTGTCCCCTTGGGGAGGTCCACCGAAGGCCCCAGTAGCTGTGATCACATGCGTCCCCGCCGCCTATTTCAGCACGCCCGTTGCTCCCTAGGGAGCTCCACCGAATGTTCCAGTGGCTGTAATCAGATGCGTCCACACCACCCATTCCGGCACACCCCTCCCTCCCTAAGGAGGTCCACCGGAGGCCCCAGTGGTGGTGATCACATGCGTCCCCGCCAACAATGCTGGCACGCTCCACCGAAGGCCCTAGTGGCCCTAGTGGCTGTGATCACATGAGTTCCCACCACCCAATTCGGCACACCCTTCACACGGTTTGTGGCCCCATAGGGAGCTGAAGGCCCCAGTGGCCGTGTCGTCCCCGCCACCTATTTCAGCGCAGCCCTCACGTTTTCGTGGCCCCCCATAGGGAGGTCCACCGAAGGCCCCCGTGGCTGTGATCACATGCGCCCTCGCCCCCCGTTTCGGCGCACCCTTCACACGTGTCGTGACCCCATAGGAACTCCACCGAAGGCTCCAGTGGCTGTCATCACATGCGTCCTCGCAACCCATCTCGGCACACCCCTCAGATGTTTTGCGGCCCCTGGGGAGCTCCACGGAAGGTCCCAGTGGCTGTGATCACATGCGTCCTCGCCACCCATTCCCGCACACCCCTCACACGTTTCGTGGCCCCCATAGGAAGGTCCACCGAAGGTCCCAGTGGCTGTGATCACACACGTCCCGGCCACCCATGCCGGTGCACCCCTCACACGTTTCAGGTCCACCGAAGGCCCCAGTGGATGTGATCACATACGTCCCCGCCACACCCATGTCGGCCCCCCCCCCAGGGAGCTCCACCAAAGGCCTCCATGGCTGTGATCACATGTGTCCCCGCCCCCCGTTTCGGCACACCCAGGACACGCTTCTTGCTCCTTAAGGGAGCTCCACCGAGGAGGATACGCACCGCTGCGGTTTTCAAAACAGCAAACGCGTGGGCCCTTCGCCTGGATAGTTTCAGCATGCGGTCCCCGCAAGTCTCGACCCTCTCCCCGGGGCGGATTTCCATCCTGAGCCGTCTTTGGACGGTCCTGGGGCCGGGCGAGGGACCCTGCGTCGTCCTCCTGCGTCGTCCTTCTTTCAGAGGAGCATGAAGCATTGTTATTGGTAGTTTTCCAGAATTCCAGGTTTTCCTGTTCTTCCGCGCGGGCTCCAGGGACGAATGGTCGAGCGCATTCCGTCGCGCAGGTTCTTTGCGTGATGTTCGCGGTGCATTTTTCGCGCATCGGAACGCCCTCGAAGATTCCAAGCTGCATGCTGTGTTGCTCCAGCTGCCGTGGCGCTGTTTTCGAGGTAGCCCTTTCGAGTGCTGTTCGCGGGCGCAACGCGCGGCGCGCGCTGCGCCCAATCGCGCGCGGCGCGGCGCATGAGTCAGCCGGCCGCGCCCGTCGGACCGCCCGGACATTATTTCTGCATTGTAAAATTGTCAGAAAACGCTTCCGTTTTTTTTCGCGCAAGCGGTTCCGGAATTTTTCAAAAAGGAGCCCGGAAATTTTCAAAACAAACAGTTTTGAGGGGTGGAGTGCGCCCGCCGCGCAGGACATCTGAAGAATTCTGAAATCCGGATTTTTTCTAAATGGAGTCCGGAATTTGTCAAAATCGATTCCGGATTTTTTTTTTTTTTTTTTATAATAATAAAATATATATATATATATATAAAAAAAAAAAAACGTTTCTGGCATTGTTCAAAAAGTAGGCCGGACACGTTCAAACATGTTCTCGGACTTGTTCAATGTTACCCCCGGACAATTTTCCAGAGTCGCGCATGGTTTGCCTTGCCAGGTCTTTGGAAATCCGCCGAGGCGCGCGGTGCGCGGCGGCGGGCGATGGGACGGTGCGCCGCCGCCCCCCCCGCGCTCGGCAACGAGAAGGGGGGTCAGCAACTTCCAAATAGCCCCTTACGGACGACCACTCGATTGCGAATGGGTGACCGACCAGCGGCACCAGCCAGAGTAGACAATACTCGACGCAGAGTGTACCCCGCGCGAAGGCTGTTAGAAATCCCGTAATCTCCGGAACGTATCAATAACACGCAGTGTCAATCGATTTTTCTCGTCCTATTCTTTCTTTTGTTACGACGCGATTATGTCTAGGTCCCCCGAACATGGCTAAACCTAAACGTTGTGCCGCTGGGCTTCGGTTGTGTCCTGTTTTTCGCTCTTGGCAAAGAGGTGCAGGAAAACAGGTGGGGCAGAACGGAGCGCGAAAAACAGCACGCAAACAGCACGAATAACTTCGTTTCGGTCCAGCCCTGCCCCCGGGTGGCCACCGAAGGGGGCGGGCGGTCCCCTCGGGCCGGCGGTGGTGGCTGCCCCGTTTCGCTCTCCAAGAGAGGCGGGCGGCTGCCCGCTGCTTCTCTCCGCGCCTCCCGGCGGCGCCCGCGGGGCCACCGGCGGCGCCATGTGCGCCAGCGGCTTTTACCCCGCGTCCCGAAGAAGAAAAGACGCTGTGACCATAAAGTTTTGCCGCTCCGCGCGGATTTATTGGATCTGCGTTGGGCCCCCCCGGCTGCGCCGGCCCCTGGCTCGCTCGGCGCGCCAAGAAAGGGAGGTCCAGCGCAGATCCAAGAAATCCGCGCGGAGCGCCAAAGGTTTAATTCATGACGTTTTTTCAGCCTTCAAGCGTCACCTGGCTGCACGAGGTGCCGAGCAGCACATGTGGGATACCGAAAGCAGTGTCATGGACAGGCTTGGTGGGGCGACTCCGTCAGCGTGTTACTGCTGAGGGCGGGGAAGGCTTCTGTACAACGGGGAACGAGGAACACGCAGCACAGCTTGAGAGACGACGCGCGTGTCGTAAAAGCTCACTATCCCGCCCGAGCGCCGTAGACCATCGCGTCGGAGGCTTGCGAAGACGGCCGCTGGTCGGACCCCACGCCGGGAAGCGTGGCCTGGGGCGGCCCTGCTTCTTGCACTCCTCGGGTCAGCAGCGGCGCGCGCCGTCTCTCGAGCTGCGCGTGCTAGGTATACAGCAGCAGCAGCAGCAGCAGCAGCAGCACGCGCACGGGCGGGCCGACGGGCGTGCCCCCGAGGGCGTTTCTCCTCGCCCTCCGAGGCACTGCTGCAACTTCCCGTACCGGCACCTCGTGCTCAACGCGGCCGAGGCGGGCTCACTCTTCACGCTCAGCGTCGGCATGGTGCTCTCGGGGCTGCTGGCCGGAGGCGGGTGGTCACTCACCCCTGGCTTCAGGAGTCGGGGGCAGCGCTGTGGGGGGAGACAGCATAGGCTCCGTGGGGCAGCGCCTCTCGACCCCAGTAGCGCATAGTCGTCGCCGATGGGGTCGATGGTCCAAAGATGGGGTCCTGCGGGAGGGGACGTAGGGACAGAAAGGGATCCAAAGGTGGATCTACGTTGTGTGAGGCACTTCATCCTTGGGGCCTCATCGTTCAGAACCCCATCTTTGAACCACCGAGGGGCCGAGGGGGGACTGCTGACGTACCTCGCCCAGGGCCGTGCGGTTGGGCCTAGCGAGAACTTCTCGCCGATCTTTCGGCGACGTGTCACCAGTCCTTCGTTGCTTCCCTCCCAGAGCCAGTCCTCCTTCGTTGCTCCCTCCCTCATCAGGAGCAGTCTCATGGTTGGCATTGCAGCCCTGTTGATCCTGTACTTCCTCGGGCTGGTGGGCCTCTGGGTGAAGGTCAAGTTCTTCTGGGCCGATGACGGTAGCGAAGAGGCGTTTGCAGAGGACCCGTGCGACGATGATCATCGCGAGAGCAATGCGTCTTAGAGGCCTCCACCTTGTTCTCGTCCTCGCCCTTCTCCCCAGAGATCCGTCGTTGTGTTTTTCAGAACGTGGCTCCCTGGATGTCCAGACCTCTTGCTGGAGACCGAGCGCTTTTCCTCACGCGCTTTCTGACGGTCCCAGTGCCCGTCAAGAGCTCCCGAAGGACGACAAGAGACTATCCGTCGTAGCTTCCTGTAACCAGCGAGTTCTAAGGCACATGATCTGAGGAGAGCCCGTGTTTCAGACACGGGGTGCGAAACATGCCGATCCTGGAGTCCCTGAACCCAAACATGGTTCATCTCTTGGAGGGCAACTGTTTACTTCCGTCGCCGTTTGCCGGGCGTCCGCCAGCTTCCGCCGGCGGAGTTCGGGCTGGTCTTGGTTCCGCTGACCCTCCGCCTTCCTTCCGCCGCCCTCCGCGGCGGAAGAGAGGACAACTCCTTCGTTCCTCGAAAGCCAGGCCCCTTTTGGACAGGGCTGGACCTGAACGATGTTTTCCGTGTTGTGTTCGTTTGATTGCTCGTGTTGCTCTACCTGTTTTCCTGCACCTTCCCTCCCAGAGCGCGGAACAAAACACAGCCGAAGTCCAGCAGAACAGCGTTTACGACCAGCCCTGCTTTTGGAAGGCCCCTCCTGTGCCGTGGCGTGCCGTGGCGTGGCGAGTGCCGTGGCGAGTGCCGTGGCGAGTGCCGTGGCGAGTGCCGTGGCGAGTGCCGTGGCGAGTGTCGTACGCACGCGTGCCTGCCGTGGCGTGCTCCAGCGGCGGCGTGCCCGGGCAGCGGGCAGAGGCCTGGGCGCCGGCAGCGGGCAGCGGGCCGTGCCGTGCCTGCCGCGGAGGCCATGGCCAGGAAGCGCCCTGCTCGCCCACGGGGTGCCCCGGGGGGGGTTTGCTGTGGGCCTCGAGGGCTCTGCTGTGGGAGCGCGCGGCGTGCCCACACCAGGAATCACAGGGGCGACCTGGGGTCTCGGGGTTGGGTCTCTTGGGGACTGGCCTCCGCTGTAGGCTTGCGAAGGTGCCGTGCCGTGCCGTGCCATGCCCGCGTGTCGTGCCGTGCGGCGCCTGGGGCCCAGAGCTGAGGCGGGCCTGTCCCTCCACAGGAGGGAGGGAGGGTCAAGAAAGTAGCAGTCACGAATAGCCTGGTGACGATTTGTCGTGCTCTCTGGATTCTCTTCGAGACAGTTGTTCGCTACCTGTTACTGTTCCTCCAGAAGCCGACGGTCGGATAACCTGCCCGAATCGTCGACTCCCCGAAAGTATTGGGAAATATGGGAAGTGGGGGGGAAGGCGAGCACCCAAACAATGTGTAAAAATATGGGGAATCCTGCTATCTGTGTGTATTTATGTTGTGTGCCCCTGGGCCCCCATCGAGGGCGCCACGCGCGCCGTGCCCGTGCTGTGCCGTGCCGTGCCCGCGCGCCGCGCCGCGCCGTGCCGTGCTCGGCCCTCCCTGCGGCACGGGCTGCTCAGGCCCAGGCCGGGGCCCATCCGGAGCACTGGTCCGAGGGGTGCGATGCCCATGCCGGTGAGCGGGTGCTGCCAGAAGCACCCCTGGCCCAAGGTGCCCCCAGGATTCTCGGGGTGGCCCAGGCGGCCTCCAGGGCACCCCGCACGAGGCCCAGGGGGCTCCATGGGGGCTCCAGAGTGGAGCGAGGAGCCGGGGGCACCTTGGGCCAGGGGCACTTCTAGCAGCACCCGAGATGATGGCCAGCCCGATTTGGTTCGCTTCTAGGGGAACGAAGAATGGCATGAACATAAAAGCTCGGAGGTGCGCGCGGATTTTTCAGATCCGCGCTGGACCCCCCTGGCGGCGCCTCCGGCGCCGACCCTGGCGCGCTCCGCGCGCCAGGGAGGGGGCCCAGCGCGGATCCGAGAGTTCCGCGCGGTCCTCCGAGTTTGTTTGTTTATGCCATTCTTCGATCCCTTCGATTCTGCCAGAATGGAGACTGGAGACCGCTGCCAAGAAACATCCCCCCTGCCTCCAGGATGCCCTGTTTTTTTTGGGGGTGTTCCCATAGCTTTGCGATGGAAGGCGTGACGTTCCCACACCAAACATCGACGGATTCCTGGGGTCTCAGGGTTGGGTTTCTGGTGGAAGGTTTCTTGTGGTCGTCGACGATCCGATGCGGCCCAGTGCTCGCATTGCGCCGTCGTGAATCCTTGCGTGGCAGATCCGATCCGATTCCGACTCCATGCCGATGCGGCCCGATCCGACGAAGGTGTTGAGATGATCCGAGTTCCCAGTTCGGTGCTGACTGATCTGGCCCAACCAGGCGCGCCCCTCTTGGCGTTGGCTCAATGTGGTCTCCTGCGGCGCTGCCCTTTGGTGTCTTTCTGCACGGCCCCACGGGCCTATTCTCCGGGGCCGCGACCCCGTGGATACGGGGCGCGCCTTCGCGGGCGCCCCGCGCGGAACGCATCCATGCCGTCGCGTATCCACAGGATCGATCCCCGGAGTCCAGGCCGCGAGGTGGTGGGTATGGACGTGTTCGCCGCTCGTGAGAGCGCCTGGCCAGAGCCCCTGGGCCCCATCTTTCCGCACCGTTTCTTCGAGCCTGATCGATCCGTGATTGTCCGGGGCCCCGAACCGGGCGAACAACGCAGGCCAGACAACGCGCAGTTCGACGCTCGACTGTGCGATGATGTCAGGCGAGGCCTCCCGAGTGGGGTCGAAGTAAATGTTGTCGGAGGATCGCGTCGCATCGCCGATGCATCGGCGATGCGACTCGATGTGGGGCTTGATTTTCTCCACCCCGACGGCCCCGATGCATCCCCGACGTCGCCGATGCGGGGCGATCCCCCGACCCCATCTACTCGCTCTATCCAGGATCCGCTAGGGACTGGTTTTCTTTCAGATCAGCCGAAACCTTTCTGAAACCCTCCGAACCCTCCCCGAATGGTTCCGGGAGGCTTCTCGGGGGGATTCGACCGGGTTTTGAAGGGTTTATGTCGGTCGTTTTGGGGGGAAGCCACGTCGTTGCGAGCTTTGAGCTTTCTAACTCTAGTCAAGGTCTTCCTCCTCGTTTCGAATGCAGTGCACGGCGCAGTGGGGCGCCAGGCGAGAGTGCTGCATGCTAACAAAAACCGTTCCGCGGCGTTGCGCGTCCGCCGCGGAGCGTGCTTTGCGGCGGGCCGCCGCCTGCTGACAGCCAGCGCTGCGCGTTGCCGAGCGCAGCGCAAGAAACTAGACAACTGGACAGTCCATCAGAGGAGGAAAAGGTGCCCATACCCCACCCTTCGCCAGTTTTCCCCTTTCTCGGCCTCCCGGGCGGTCCTCGTCGCCACCGCCGGATTCGCCTCGCAATCCTGGTCAGAACGCACCCCGGGAGAGGTCCGTGGAATAGCGGTATCGGTGTCTCAAAAATTGGTGTCTTGTCTTCTACCCGACGCGGGATCGATGCAGAATCCATGCGGATTTGAAGCGGATTCGGTGCGGATTTGGACGTGGGTTCGAGGCGGATTCGACGAGCGCGACATGGATTCGACACGGATTCGACACGGAGTCGATTCGGATAAGGACGCGACGGGACAGACAAGGCTCCCCAAAGATGCAATACAACGTTCACGACCGGTTCCCTTCGTCTGCGGTCGGGAACGTTGGCTAAGCGAGTCGATCCGCCGGTTCTGGTCCACCACGCTTCCTCCTGCGGCACGAGATCCACTCTCCATTCCACGGGCGAGCATCAGACCGGAGGCTAAAATCAACAATTGTGCGAATGTGTGTATATGTGCAAACATCTTGTCAGATGTGTGCATCTAAGTATACATATTTTCACAATGTAGGAAGGTTATGGTAACCATTTCTCAATCTTCTTTCACCTGGGAAATGGGTGTCACAGCATGCTCAACATATTTTCACATTTGTTCGCATGTCATTGAAGTTCTTCTAAAATTATTGTCAATTGACGACGGTGGGTAGTCTGTTCAGCCTACGCGCCAAACATTTTCAATTGTTGTTGGAACACTTTTCATAAGTTCCCGCGTTTTTCAGTTGCAAGAGGTTTATTTTCCAAGTTCTTGTTAACTGAGGTCCTTGTCCGAATTATTGTCATGTTCCTCTCGAGTCATGTTCAAGTGCTGGCGGGAGGGGGACCCCCCTTGTTTTTGAATCAAACTCGTTTCAGATTTACTTGACAGTGATTTTGATTGTTCTAAGTGTCTTGGAACCCTGGCCTGTGTGAGCACTCGCCCGTTATAACACTTTCCCTTTCCCGAGCATCAGCATCTCGAGCTTCTCTGAGTCTCCCGCCCCGCGGAGCGGAGCGGCACGCTGGTACGGCACAGCGTGTCGCCGGGGCCGCCGTCTCCGATTCATCGCCGATGCATCGCCGATGCACCGCCGACGACGTCGGCGATGCATCGCAGATGCATTGGCAATACATCCGCGATGCGACTCGATCCTCCAACTCCAGCTGCTCGGACCCAGAAATGTGGCCCGTACCTGGGCGAGAGCACCATGCCTGAAATGATTCCAACGCTGCAGTGGGAACGCCCGTCTGGGAAAGCATTCACCTTGCGAGAGGCCCAACCCTTAGCAGTTTCATGTAATGACGGTGGTGCCATCTTTATGCGCGGTCCGTGTGAAGGATGTGCCGGCATGGGCCGGGGATCGCATGCAAATTTCCAAGTAGGGTCGTGCATGGAGGGGCGCGACGCGTGCAAGAGATACGCCGACATGCACGGGGCTTCTGTGGGGGACATATCGTCCAGCCGCGCCAAACTCGCCGCGATCAAGAAGCTGGGCCCTGGTCGCGCATCGATGGTCCAGGATCCAAGGGGGTATTTTGTTTAGGGGGTCATCCTTCTTTCTTGTTTTTTGTATACTATGGCTTCCAGCGGGGGACATTTGGGGGCTTGCAGGTCCATGCGATCGACATGGGTGAGGTGGCAGCAACGTCTTCCCATTGTGGATCAGATGGTGTCTTAGTGTCGCCGCTATCGCTGTCCATGTGAAGCCGCCAGCCCCCAAAACGGCCGCTGTCGGCTATGGGCAACAAGTTGATTTGGGCATCACAGTATTTCTGTTCTGACCCACCTCCGGCGTGCCACGTTGCAGAGGGCGCCTATCACATTGTTTGTGCACCGCCCTCCTTCCAATGGTGTCCGCGGTTCGATCGGTGTGGCCCCCGCTTTCTCGGGAAGGCCGCCCCCCCCTCTCACCAGCCTACGCCTCGCCGCTCCGCGACGAGGGCCATGGCGAGCGCGAGGGCGATGAGGGCAAGCGTGCGGCATGAGTCGTGCTCCTGATGATAGGAGCACGTGCCACATTGGGGCAACCGCTTATCTCGCACCCTCTTGCTCACGTAGTGGCTGGGAGATCTTCGAGTGCTTCCCTGCCGCCAGGAGTAGGAGGACGCGCAGGCGGAGGTGGACGAGTAGGAACAGGAGGAGGGGGAGGAGGACCAGCTCTCGGCTGTCTGAATGAGTGCATCTATTACGATTACCCTATCGCGGCGACAAGATGCTTCTGTGGGCTGGCAGGGTCCAGGAGGCAATCTCCTCGACCTGGCGGTCACGCTCCCGGGCCCGGCACGACCGCTGTGCATCGACGTGACCATCCGGTGCCGGAGCGCTGCGCCGCACCCGCGTGCCGTGTCCGTGGCGGGGGACGCGGCGGCCGAGGCAGCCAGGAGGCAGCGCCAGCGGCACGGGAGCGCTGGTCCTCTCCGTGGTCGTGGGACGCCGTGGCCGCCCAGGCGTGGAAGCTGCCCGGTCCCTTGAGCGCTTGGCCACGCGTGCTGGCGCCGGCATCCCTGATGCCTGGGCGGCCCCCGGGTGGCGGGCCGCGTCGGAGCGCATCGTGCAGTGGGCGGCTGCTGACATCGAAGTCCTCGCCCTCGGCTGCCCCCCGACTCTCCACCCAGGCCGGGCTGGCCTGGGGCCGCGTGACGGGCGCGGCGCTGCAGCCCTAGCAGCCGATGTGGTTTTCATGTTTCGACAAGGTTTCGTTTCCAGGTGGCACTTAGCACGAGCAGGAGGAGCAGGAGGAGCAGAAGCAGAAGCTGGAGGAACGGGAGGAGCAGGAGGAGCAGGAGGAGGACGGGGAAGAGGGGAAGGAGAGGGAGGAAGAAGAGGAGGAACAGGAGGAGCAGGAGCAGGACGGTGTGGAGGAGGAGGAGGAGGAGGAGGAGGAGGAGGAGGAGGAGGAGGAGGAGGAGGAGGAGGAGGAGGGGGGGGAGAGGAGGAGAGGAAAAGGAAGGAAAGGAGAGGAGGAGGACGAGGCAGGAGGAACAGGACTATCAGGAGGAGCAAGAACACAGGAGGAGAGGAACAGTAGGGGCAGGAGGAGCAGGAGGAGGACGACGAGGAGGAGCAGGAGGAACAGGAGGGGGAGGAGGAGCAGCAGGATGAGGAACAGGAGGAACAGGAGGAACCGGAGGAGCAGGAGGAGCAGGAGGTAGGGGAGGAACAGTAGGAGCAGGAGGGGGAGGAGGAGGAGGAGGAGGAGGAGGAGGAGGAGGAGGAGGAGGAAGAGGTGGAGGAGGGGGAGGAGCAGGAGCAGGACGAGGAGGATGAGGAGCAAGAGGAGGAGGAGGAGGAGCAAGAGGAGGAGGAGGAGGAGGAGCAAGAGAAGTAGGGAGAGGAGGAGGAGGAGGAGGAGGAGGAGGAGGAGGAGGAGGAGACGGCCAGCCACCAGGCGAAAGGAGACGGTGTACGGCTCCAGCCCCAGGCCGCCGGCCCGGGCCCCCGGCCCGACGGGGGGGCCTCGGGACAGGAGAGGGGGTCGGGTCGGACGACGGGGGAGGGGGAGGCGGGAAAATTCCCAGATGGCTCGCAGAGAGCTACAAGGATTTCAGGTCAAGGAGCCGGAGCCGCAGGGTAGCCCCGGAGATCGTTCCGGCGGCGGTCCACACACCTCGGCGAAAATGGCTTGAGCTCGCAGCGTGTCCCGAGACGCGTTTTCCTACTCGTTCCCGATGCGCGTGCCCAAGATCTTTCCAGAAGGTTCTTCGGAAGCTCTCCCCAGGTCCTTCCGGCGTGCTTCGCCAGGCCTTTCCACGCCCTCCGGACGCCCTGCTACCCAGGTTTTGGATTGCATAAGTCAAGGCTAAGTCAGGCAGGCCCCTCTATGGGAGGAATGCGCAAGAACAGATCCAACATAGACTGGGGACGAAGTTTCGTGCTCTGGTGACCATTCGTTGTTTGTTGTCCATGTTTGTTTTGTGCTCTGGTGACTATTCTTGTTTTTGTGTGCTCTGGCGACTTTTCTTCCCAAATCCGTCTGTAGGGGGACATGCTCGACCTAAAGTCAGGGGCAGTGACCGAAGGGACATGCTCAGGGGGGGACAAGCTCAGAGGGGATATGCTCAGGGGGGATGTTCAGCGGGATATGTTGAGGGGGGATCTGCCCAATGGAAGGGGAAGCCAGTGGCAACGATAGCAGGGGCCTCGCGGCCCGCGGGGGGGAGGTGGAGGAGGGTGCGGATGAGGACGAGGATGATGGTTTTGATGATGATGATGACGACGACGACGACGATGATGATGATGATGATGATGATGATGATGATGATGATGCTGATGCTGATGATGATGATGCTGATGATGATGATGATGATGATGGTGATGGTGATGGTGATGGTGATGGTGATGGTGATGGTGATGATGATGCTGCTGATGATGATGATGATGATGATGATGATGACGATGATGATGATGATGATGAGGAGGAGGAGGATGAGGAGGAGGCAAAGGTACCGATTCCGCAGCCCTCGCCTCAAGCTTCCTGTTTTTTGGGTCTCCGCTGGATTCGCTTCGAAATTCTGGTCAGAGCGCGCCAAGGGAAGGTCCGGGGAGTGTCAGGGGCAACGTTCGGGGGGGATAGACAGAAGGGGGGGACTCACCTCCTCGACCCCCGATCGCCCACTGGTCGGTGGTAGGGCTCTGATCGCCCCACCCCGTCCAGCAGCTTGCGGATTCGCAGAGAGGCCCATCGCGGATGTATCTGCGATGTGTCGCCGATTCCACGTCGATGTCCCCCCCTGAGCCAGTCCCCCCCACGATCGCTGCCCGTCAGGAAGGCGACGCCCAAAGATCGGCTCTGGCTCGGCAGGGGCGCTCGCCAGCACGAGCTGGCTGCGCGTGGGTGTTTTCGGGTTCGTCGTTGTCGTCGTCGTCGTCGTCGTCGTCGTCGTCGTCGTCGTCGTCGTGGGCTCTCCGGCGGCTTCCCAGCCTCGGTGGTTGCGCTCCTGCAGCCACGCCTGGCCTGGAGGGCGGTCCGAGGGCGCGGCTGGGACGGCAGGGGGGGATAGGGACAGGAGGAGGCGGAGGAGGAGGAGGAGGAGGAGGAGGAGGAGGAGGAGGAGGAGGAGGAGGAGAAGCAAGAGAAGGAGGAGGAGAAGGAGAAGGATAACGAGGAGGATAAGAGGAGGAGGAGGAGGCGGAGGAGGAGGAGGAGGAGGTGAGGAGGAGGAGGTAAGGATGAGGAGGGGTACGAATTCTGCTGCATGCTGCAGGGGCACCGGTACGGGGGGTAGGCGCAGGGGGGGGGGGGACGCATCGACCCCCGATGGCCCATGGATCGCCGACAGGAGTGTGATGGCCCCACCCCGCTCAGGAAGGTACGGGTTTGCTACCAGGGGGCCCCCTCACCGATCGGTCGGCGATGCATCTGCGATTCCAAGCCGATGCTTCCCCCCCTAATGCCAGTCCCCCCCTATCGTTGGCGCTCGTCGCTGCAGGTCTCGGCGCCGCCGCCAGGCGCTTTCCTCGATGCAGCGGCGGCTCCGGCGCTGGGAGACGCCGGGAAGACCAGCCGCGTTGTCTGCTTCGGCCCCCCCTCCTCGGTCGCGGCGACAGAGGCCAATTGCCCAGGGGCGGGCGTCGCATGCATGCGCCCGGAAGCCCCGCCGAAGCGTGGGACGATCGGCGCCCCGGGATACGTGTAGTTTGCGCTCCCCTGCGTGACCCGTCCCCTCTTTCGGTCCCTCTTTCGGTCGCGTCCTCCTCCTGCTCCCTTTCCTGAATGGTGGCACAATTTGCCCTAACGACACCCCCGTTTAGGGCTTTCCCCTAGCGCAGACTTCCCCTGCCTCGCCGCTGACGCGAAAAGTGTTTTGCCCTCCCCTGGGCTATTCGCCATCCTCCTCGCCCCTCACCTCCTCCCTTTGCTAGCCCCCTCGTGCGGTCTGACCCGAAGGTGGCGGGTGAGGCGGAGGATCGGGAGGACCTTCCACCTCCTCCTCCTCCTCCTCCTCCTCCTCCTCCTCCTCCTCCCCCGTAGCCATTCTGGCTCAAGCGAGCCGCGCTTCGGGAGGCCCTCGCCAGCGCGCCTGTCTCGGCGCAGGCGCGCAAGAGGCCATGGACGGCTGCCCTGATGGCCGCTGCTGGGCTGCTGCCAGCGCGCGAACGCTGGCGCGACGGCTCAGACGGGGTCGACGTCGGGAACTTGGAGCGACGAGGGCGTCGGCCTTGGCGCACCGCGCTAAGGCCCTGCGAGCCTCGCCCACCATGCACTGGAGCCTGAGCGACGCCTTGGGCTGCCACATGCCTTCGGTCCGCGATGCGGTGGATGCGGGGCGCCTCCTGGGCATCGAGCGCCACCTCATCGACGAGGCGGAGGAGCTGCTGATCGTGGGCAACTCCGCGCGGCACGCACCGCCCCCTGGTGCGGCCCGTGGCCCGCCTCCGGCGCCGGCTGGCCTAGCCCTTTGCCAGCAGAGGAGAGAAAGGTGCACATCCCAACCTCAGCGCAGATGCGGCGACCTTCGTGCCACACGACGTCGTCGTCCTGGAGGCGTTGGGCGTGAAAGGGTCCGCCGAGGAGTGGGGGATTTTCGCGGAGTGCGTGCAATCCGCCGAGGACAACTCAGATCTGGGGAGCCAGGGCGTGATCAGCACGACCCTGGACGCGAAGCAGGAGGTGGAGGGCGAGCAAATCGCCCCGCAGGCCCCCGTGGTCGGCCTCGGCACCGAGGAGTTCTTCGAGAAGGAGATCACCGCGGCCGAGAGCCGCAAGATCTACGTGCCTGCCACGACGGTGGGTCTCGTGAAGAAGATCGATCAGAACGAGTACGCCGCGGAGTACGCGGAGCTGCAGGCCGAGAACGGCCCGCGCACGGATATGGAGATCGTGTAGAACGTCTACGCTGCGAACCAGGAGCTGGAGGGCGAGGCCGTCGCCCCAAAGGCCCCCGAGTCAGACTTCGGCCCCGAGGAAGTCTTCGCGAAGGAGTTCACCGACACCGAGAGCCACAATATCCCCGTACCTGCCGCAACGGTGGGCCTCGAGACGGAGATGAAGCTGCCCCAGACCGCAGCCAACACCAATTTCGAGATGGAGTTCAGAGGCCGAGAGCAACAAGCGTCGTTCGACCATGATCGGCAGAGGCGGCCTCGTGGCATGGCAGTGCCCACGCGGACACGCGCTGCGAAGAACAACGCGAGGCAAAGCATCCAAGCCTTGCGTGACATGCAGTGAGCCCTTTGCCACAAAGTTCGCACCAATCGATATGTGCCTTACCTGCAGGTGGAGAGCGTGCGAAGCCTGCGCTCACGAAGCAGACAGCAACTCTTCAGATTGCGATTAGAGAGTTTCGAATCGCATCGGCAGGCATGCGATGTAGTGTCCTGTGTGCTGCCTCTCGTTCGTCGCCTGCCCTTGCGTGGTTTGGAAAGCCCCCTCTGAGGGGATGCGGGTTCCAGAATGTTGAGCGCAGCCTGTGCGAAGGACCCAGGCTGCCTCGAGAAGGCGAGGCATCAGCCCGCCCAAATTCGATTCACGAGTCGATCACGAACACCCCCCCCTGTAGCCGTGCGATGGTCCTCCTCCTCCTCCTCGCGCAGCGGCAGGGATCACGGCGGAGCGGGGTGGGTCCCAGACGTGCGCGGCCCAGTGTGTGTTCAGCGCGTGGTCTCCCGAAGCCCAGGCCCTTTCAAAAAGGTCCAGCGCCCCCAGGGGGCCAGTGCTGCAAGGTTTCCGGCCGAAGAAGGACACTTGCTGAAGGAATCGCGCCTGCAGGATGCTTTCTCCCAAAGCACTTTCGCTCAGAGCCCGCTGCGCAAACAATCATCACCGAGTGCCCTCACTGAAGGAAAGGATTATTGTTGCGGGGGTCGTTACTCAAGGCACATGCCTTTCTCATGGCTTTTTTCTCACAAGGCATGAGGAGAGGAAGCCTCGCACAGGGATTCCTTACCACATTGTAACCTGACTGACGGATTTTTTGGTTTTCTTCATAAAAAAGCGCCCCACGAAGGATGCCTCATTGTCACCATTCCTAAACGGGACTTTTCGATACAGGTACCCTTGCTCAAGAACCTGGATTCTTGTCGATTTGACCACTGTTCAGGGACATGTTCTTACGGGCTCCTTCCGACACTCACCTTTTTCACCCGTCGGAAGCGTTTTTTCCCCATCAAGGAAACCTCCTTCGGGAGGCCGCACTAAACGCACCATTCCGATGCATCCTTTATTCTCGACTCTAGTACCAAGAGGCCCTTCTGCGAGGAATAGTGAACCATCAACCATTGCTACAGGGATCCTTGCTGTGTATATCCTTACCTAGCGCATCCCCGCTAAGGACTCCTCAGTGAAACAGTCCAAGTGGTCCTTACTAATGAGTGCGTGCGCAAAGGCATATTTTCAAATGGCCCCCCGTCAGAGAGAAACTTGAATACGTCTGTACGGACGAAGCACGATTCCCAAAACATGAGTTGCACATCTTTAGCTAC